TAAACTGCTAATTTCTGGGAGCTTGATAGCAGACGTGCCCTTCTAGAGGGAAAAGCAGTTATCTGTCAAAGGCCACATACAGTGCAGCTTGGCTAAAATGTTTGTTTTGTGGCCATATCACCATTCTGATTAGTGGAAATTTATATTGCATATTGTGGGAGTTGGAAATGTAACTGCAGTCCTTGGCACAGACTGAGGGTTCCTTGTGAAGGAGCATTTTAGAATGTGACAGAGGAAGGCCTGCTCTGCCTTGAAAGATGAAGCAGGTCCTCACGGTCATTTCTCACCCCTGCATTGAATTGCTGTGACTTCTGCAAGTGTGTTCTTGTGCTTCATTCTACTGCACGAGAGCCATGGACAAAAGCCATCACGGAGCTGTGGGTTAGCTCTGCAAAGTCATGGAGTGGCCAGAACCCAACACAGCCAGTGGATTTTAAAATTGATTTTCTGGTTGTTTTCCCTCCCTGTTTTCTCCTTCTTGCAGCCTACATTATGCGCTGCTGTGGGCTCCCCAAGCAGCAGAAGGCATGACAGGATGTGTGGTGGAGGGAGAGGCTGCAGAGGGAACGTAGACATCGATCCCCTGCTGGATGGAGAGGCCCAGGGGATGCAGGGAGCTGGAGCTGATGCTTTTGGCAGCGCTGATGTTGTGCTCTTGTGTAGCTTGTGTTTCTGCTTTGTACAACCTTGACAGCTGGGATCTGACCTGATCAGGCCAGAGGAGGAGACTCTATGCTGTCAGATCATCAGGCAGCACTCCTGTGCTGTGCAGCAGACAGAGCACTGGCAAAGGTTGCCAAGAGGCTGTGGAGTCTCCTCCTTGGAGATCTTCAAAACCTCAGTTGAATGTGGCCCTGGGCACCCTCCTTGAGGTGTCCCTGCTGGAGCTGGGGTTGGGCCAGAAGGATTCAGAAGTTCCTGCTAACCTCTACCAATCTATAAGCCCAACGATTCCATAATGAATTGAATGATCTGACTGCAATTGGGAATGGCACAAGGACCGGCTGTGATTAGAAGCCATCATTCAGAGCAGGAGCTCTGAGCTGCCCTCCACCCAATCCAGGGTACAGCAGGTAATGGGAACAGCCTAGTCCCATCTGCCCTGCGCTGGCCACAGCAGCACCTTACCCAAAAGCCACCTGCCTGCTGTGTCAAGGACAGTGCTTGTCCTCGCATTGTGTTAGTGTGTCTTGTGCAGTAGCCATGGTGGGATTGCCTTCCAACTGAGGAAGTTTATAGCAAAAATAGGAAATTTGGCACTTCCTTAAGGAAAAAGAAAAAAAGGCAATTATTGTTGTATTTCAAGGATTAGGTCTGTGAGAGCAGCTCTCAATGAAGGCAGAGTAATCCAGCCAGCTATGATTAAATATCTATAATGGTGTAGTCAAACCCAGTTGTGAAGGATTTTTTTCCCCAGTAATCAGCATACAGCTGCACCATCCCCATGCAGGGGCTGTGGGCACAGCTATGTTGTTCCACACCAGCTCTGCTTCTTATCATAGCAACAGTTTGTGTAGTTTAGGATCTAGCCCAGAATTTTCCACAGTGCCCTGACCAGTCACCATTTTGGAGCTCTGCTTCTTCCTGCCTTTCCCTCATTCAGAAATGTACATTTCACCAAAGGGATATTCTTAACAATTCCATCTTGAACTTTTGCTTGGGGTAGATCAGAGCGGTAGGGACACGCGCAGCATCACAAGGCCCAAACCTGCAATCGCTGCAACTCCACGTGCTGTGATCAGAGCTGTGGTAAGAGCTGTTGGGAGGCTCACAAAATTGCTGAGGTTGGGAGGACCCCTGGAGGTCTGCTGGTCCTACCGCACACTGAGCAGGGCCCTGCTTCAAACACGATCCAGCTCCAAAGCCACCACGCATTGCTGTGTCCAGAGCACTCAGATGTTAAAAAATGAAACCAGAAGAGGCAGCTCTGTTGTCTCTGAACATAACCAAGTTTCTCAGGCTGGTTGGCTTGGTTGTCTAACAAAGGTGCAAGCTCTGACTGAAGCTTTCCAGCTGGAATTTTGCTCTCTCTCCATGTGAAGCCACAGCTTCTGCAGTTTTCCATGATGCTGGAAAGCTGCCCTTGGAAGCAGAGCAGGGAGTGCCTCAGTGCTGCAGAACCACAGTGTGATGAGCACCAGTTGGATGGGACATCACAGGCACTGACTTGCACAGTACATCAGGACCGCACCTCAACAAAGTCTGTGTGTTACTCTTCTGCTCCCAGGCCAGCATTTGGCTTTCTGAGGAAAACCCTGGTAGTGCTTTGCAGGGCTCCAAACCTCTCTGGCTGGACTTCTGCTTACTTTAGCAAAGGCTGAAGGTCAGCTTTCCTTTGTGAGCCCAAGGAAACACACCACAGATGACTTCACAACTGATACAAAATCCCCTGCCTCGGTTTGCGTTTGACTTTTCTGCATGACTGCACACCTTGCATGTAACAGGATGCTTGCAGTTAGCTAGGTATCCCTTAGGCTTCCCCACATGCAGGCAGTGCCAATGTAAAGGTTTCCATGCCTGCTTTTGGTGCTTTACTCCCTGCTCGCCCACACAGGGCTTTGCTTTCCCAGGCTCTTCATGCTTTCCCTCCCACCAAACCCTGCCCACACCACCTCTGCTGCCCTCAGCCTGGCCGCACCCCGGACACTGCTGGGCTCTGCTGATCACAGGCACTGCTGCTGCACTGCCAGAGCCCAGCTGGGGAGCTTGGGCTGCAGCCACGTAAGTGTTGTATATGTGGCCCATGGTGACTGCTGAGAGAAAGGGAGAGTTTCAGGAAGAGCGAGTTTCAGGAGGGTTGATTTACCGCTTGTCTCAGTGCAGGGGTTGCTGTTGGGAAGTTCTGGGTTGTTTTGAAAACGGTAGCAAAGAACTAAAACAGCCTCACTGCTCTTGCAGTCTCAGGGCTGATGCTGGCTTGTATCGCTTTCAGATGCACATCATTCCCACAGCCATGTGAGTAGCCTGAGCCTAATAGCTGCTTTCATGCAGAGCCAGCCACATGGCCTGCAAAGTCTCCCTTGTAGTAGTCCTGGGCACTGCAAGAATTTTACTGCTGGAACATTATCTTTTGATGCTCTGAAATGCCCCCCTTACTGTGTTGCTGCTGACTTGCAGAACCCTCTTAAATTGTATTCTTGCCCTCAGCCTGGAAGGAAGGCAGATACTGGCTGTGGCATTTCTGCTGCTTGTTTTTCTCAGGTTATATACCCCACTAATAGCTAGCAAAACCCCACTGCTTCTTACCGCAGACCTGATACCGAAATCAGTGTGGGTCACTGCATCACTGCTTGTCTTTAATGGGCATACACTGTATTTGTCCATGAAATAAAATGTATGGTCAAGTCGGGTGGCCAGACATGTTGCCCATTATTTTTTGTTCTCCATGCTGGATGCTGGAAGGTGTTATGTTGGAGAGACCAAAATAATTTAGTCTGTTTCTAAGTTTTCTTGCTTGCTTTCACTTTGACTTCCACACCACTGTGAGCAGTGAACATTTGGGCACAAGACAAAGCACTAATTGATAACTTTCCCCAGTTCGACCTGGAAAGTTCTCGTCCCCACTTCAACTTAGAAAGTTCATGGACAGGAGGAAATAGCAGCCCATGCTCGGTGTTCGCTTCGCTCCTCAGTCCCTCTTCCTTCCTTTCAGTCTCCTCTTCCTTCCTCCAGTCGGCACGGAGATTTTTCCAGTTGAGCACACGATTGCACCTTAGTCATGGAGTGTGTCCCTTCCTTTTGATGAAGCTTTCCCATGCTTAGTTTTGTCTCAGCACAGGCAGGAAATGACGAGCTGTGTCACTTCTTTCTTTCCGTGCGTTCCATACGATATGCTGCCCTAAAGCACAGTGTCTAAGTGGGAAAGCACAATGAGCTCATGAATTCTTACCAATAGGAAGTGACATTTTTCCTCCTTTTGTTTGCTGAATTCCCAGTGGGCTGCAGCTAAAATATTGGAGACATTTTATTTAAAGGCAGAAAGGTTGCGTTTTCAGCTCAGATACATTCCTGATTTCATTTTCTGTCTGACAGCACCACACCAAACCCAACTGGTGTGAACAAATGAACTTCCATAGAAGTCCTCAGACTATAACCTTAAGTCAAATGTTGGCTCTAAAATATGCTTTAAAATCACCCAAAATTAATACCAAATTTCCCTTAAAAAGGAATATCCTTAATATGCTGTAACAAGTTTGAGTTCATCAAAATCATCAGTTGAAGGAAATGTGATTGTTGAGCTTGGAGAAGACTCTGGGGAGACCTCAGTGTGGCCTTCCAATACTTGAAGGGAGCATACAAACAGGAGGGGGAACAAGGGTTTATGAGGGTGGATAGTGATAGGACAAGGGGAATGGTTTTAACCTGAGACAGGGGAGGTTTAGGTTAGATATTAGGAGGAAGTTTTTCACACAGAGGGTGGTGAGGCACTGGAACAGGTTGCCCAAGGAGGCTGTGGATGCCCCATCCCTGGAGGCATTCAAGGCCAGGCTGGATGTGGCTCTGGGCAGCCTGGTCTGCTGGTTGGTGACCCTGCACACAGCAGGGGGTTGAAACTGGATGATCATTGTGGTCCTTTTCAACCCAGGCCATTCTGTGATTCTATGATCAAACATTTCCCTCAGAGGAAAATGTGTTGGCTGTTGGGATGCCAGGGCAGCCAAACAGATGTTGAGAGGACACTATTTTTTCACACTCCCTGTATGTTCTAATGAGGCTTCAGCTTCAAGCACCTGTATTTAATTCTGTTCTGCTCTTTCTGTTAGTAACACATTTCTCATCAACAGCACATACTTACGTGATTTATGAGCTGCAACACACCAACTGGTTACAAGTGCCCTAATGCAGAAGGCTGTTCTCTACATTGCACTTCTCAGCTATTTTCCTCCTTTTCCTAATATTTCATGAACCTCATGTGGCAACTGATTCCAAATGACACTTAAAAGCAAGCTATGAAAGCTTATGCATGTGTTTTTCCACAGAATGATTTATGGACAGCGAAGGGCTTGAAACTCTCTTTTTATTGTACGTCTTTCTTCTTACTTTAGAAATAATTATCTGTACTGTTACAAATGTTCCTTCACAGAAGGTACATTTCTTTTTAAAAACAAAAACAAAAAAAAAGGGGCGAGAGCATCATCCGAAATAAGCCATTATTCCTCATTGATATAAAATGTGTTCATATTTCTGGGCGGTGTCATATCCAAACCACTGTTCATCCAAATTTCTTGCATGATCTGCTCCCTCCGCTCTATCCGCTCAGCCAGGTCCGCTGCTTCAGCTGAGTTATAACCTGAGTAAGAAGGTCTGTAAAGTTCTGCTAGCTCGTCCGGCAGCTCTGACCCAGAGGAGTCTTCATCTTCCTCCTCCTCGCTCTCACTGCTCTCATCCACTCCATCACTTTCTGGCACCAAGTGCTCCTTCTTTCCCTGCAGTTTCTGGAAGTCTTTAAAGCAGGACACGCGGATCACCAAAGCACACAGCGTGAGGATTAATCCCACACAAACACTGGACACAAACAGCAGAGCAGCTCTTTCCGGGTGATCTGAAATTAGAAATCCAATGCATAAACTTCTCCCCAGCTCTGCCAAAGTGTAGCTACAAAGCAGCCAGCTGCCATTCCCAATGCCCTGCACTCTATGGCTGTAGTGGCAGTGGGGCTGGGAGAGACTTGCTGCATCCTGCCCCAGAAACATCCCGCACTTGGAAATTGACATTTCTACCACCTCTGCTTTTTCAGCTTGCTGTGCAAAACCCACAATCTCTTAAAAACATACTCGAATAACATCTCACCATTCTGTTAGCATTTTTAATCACCTATCAGAAATACACTTTTTTTCCAGCCATCCAGCCTAAATAGGTCTTACCTTCGCAAAGAGGGGACATGAGGGTTGTTCAATCTGGAGAATAGGAGGCTCAGGGGAGACGTCATCAGTCTCTACAACCACCTGAGAGGAGGTTGCAATGAGGTGGGGGTTGGCCTCTTCTCCCAGGCAACAGCGATAGGATGAGGGGGAGTTGTGCCAGAAGAGATTCAAGTTGGATATTCTTCTCAGAAAGAGTGGTGAACAGGCTGCCCAGGGAGGTGGTGGGGTCACCGTCCCTGGAGGTGTTCAAGAACTGTGTGGACATGGCACTGAGGGATGTGGGCAGTGGGTGTGGTGAGGATGGGTTGGACCGGGTGATCTTAGAGATCTTTTCCAATCTTAATGGTTCTTTGATTCTATGGGATGAGCAGCTCCATGCTCTGAGGAGCTATGGTAGCATTCCCAGCCCAGGCTAGGTAGGGAACATTTTGGTTTCCAACACGTTCTAAGATAGCATCTCAGTAAAGCAACAAAAGAGGCAGGGACTCCACAGCTGCACGGTTCTGCCATTTTCTAGAGGCGCAGAAATCTTAATTCTGGAGTTGCTTCTTAATGCTTACTTCTGAAATCCATTAGACTTCTCTCATGGTGTCAGAGATCTCCTGACCGTGAATTTACTGGCCTCAATGAAATTTGCCTTAGCATTGCCAAGTCACAAGACCTGTCATGGCCCATACTGGAGAGGGCTGCTTTCTTTGTTTGGGTGGTTCTTTACTGCTTTTCAGTGATCCTTATACTTACGTAAACCAACATTTCCAAAAATGGATGTCTCCAACACTGCTCCCAGATCAGGACCAGATTTTTAAAAATACCAAATAACCAACAGCCCCCACTGAAAATATTAATTGAAAAAATCTTGGCTGCAGTCCCTAAAAGAGTTTGGATCCTTCAGGATGGAAAATATTCTGTAAATGTCAGTTAGACTGCGATAGTCCCATCCACAGGACTGTAATTATATTGTAATAATACTATTACTATAAACGTGGGATTATCAGCTGTGAGCTTCTGAAGTCATCTTCCCTTTTCCCCTTCTTTCCAAAATGCCAACACATAATGAACCAAGCTGCCTCATTTTCCTACCTCTAATGTATGCAAATGTAGCCAAGGAGTTGCTAACAATGGTGCCATCTTTCTTTGGAGATCTTGATTCCTTTGGATCGATATCAATACCTGCAGTGAGAGGAGGTAGAACAATCAGTCACACTGTAGATGATAAAGCCATCACATTGATATTCCCCTTATCCCTTCTGAACTAATGAGTCTGTCCAAAACACAGGCAGACCAGCACTCTGCTATAGGAACCTTGCAGATTGTTAAACCAAATAATGGTTGCTCAGTACAATAAATATTAAGATAAATCTTGAAGTAAAATATAATTAATAAGGTACTGAAAATATCAAATACATGTAAAATGGAAATCTTATTTTAAAAAAGAAATTATTACCACGTGAACCACCTTGTCTCTTCCCATTAAGCTGTCAGAAATAATTTACTGCATTACCTTCACAGCTGCCGAACGGACTTCCCAGACCAATCACTGCAGTGCTCTCATCAGCAATGACAGCAAATATGCACCGGCCACATCATTCATTTTATTTGCTTTTAGGAGGAGCAAGCTCCTCAGAAGCAGTATAAGGCACATACAGCTGACTGCAGGGCCTCTTGTGAGCTCTTCCCTCCTGATTGCTGTGACAACTGTGTCCGCAAGGCAGAGAGAAGCTGTCCCAGAAGCACTCCCACTGTCCCCTCCCTTACACCCGCCTCTGCTGGACCACGATGTCCTACTGCCTGTCCTACTGTACTGTACTGTACTGTCCTACTGTAAACCTTTTATTTTTATCTTATTGTTTTTTTAATTACCATGTTCACCATCATTCTGCTTCACGGAAGAATTGCTGTGAGTGACCAGGTGGTTGACAGCTGTGAGGATGAATTTAGGAACTGGAAAGAAGAAAGGCAAATGATGCACTGTCAGTTTTGCAAACCAGATCCCCTGTCAATTACCATTCCCCATGATAGGATCACAGAGTGGCTGAGGCTGCCAGAGCCTCTGAGTCCGCCTGGCCCAACCTCTGTTCCAGCAGGGACACCCAGACCAGGATGCGCAGGGCCACGTCCAGGTGGCTTTTGGACATCTCCAAGGAGGAGACTCCACAGCCTGTGGGCAGCCTGTGCCAGTGCTCCGGCACCCTCACAGCCAAGGAGTGTTTGTGTTCTAAATGAATGGGGCTTTTGATGGTGGTGCCTAAGGCTGTGCCCTGCAAGGATGGCAGCAGCTGGAGAAATAGTGCCTGCTGGAATCCCTGGCCACAGCTGTGTTTCTTATGTGCCATGCCATCAGCTGTTGGCTAACGTTCACATGATTGCATTTTAACCTCATGGCAGGTAAACACCCTGAAACCTGGATCTCTGGGGTCACTCACCTGCCAGGAGTTGAGCACAGCTTGGCTTCTCAGAGTTTGCAGGGGGAGGCAGCCCCATGTGGGGATTGATCTCCCCACACACCCATGGGAGTGGAGCAGCCCTTCTACTACAGAAGGGCTGTAGAGGAAAAAGAGAAAAGTAGAAAAAGCCAGAATCACAGAACATCCTGAGCAGGAGGAACCAACTTCAGGCTCCACACAGCACCATCCAAACCCTATGTCTAAAAAAGTGGTCCAAATGCTCCTTGAACTCCAGCACTTGGGGCCATGCCCACTGCCCTGGGCAGCCTGTTCCCACTCTCTCACCTGTTGGCAGTGCTGGGCCTGGTGCACCTCTGGGTATGGTTGGCCCTTTCGGCTGCCCTGGCAGGTTGCTGACTCAGATTCAATTCACTGTCAGAACGGCCCAGGAACATTTAAAGACTTGTCTGACATTCTCTGCAGAGCCTCTGAAGTGAGCAGTCCCAGAGAGGGAAGATGCTGAGGATGAGGTGGCAGGGTGCTACTGGGTATTCTCATTTATTTTTTTTCTCTTGGGATGTTTTCCCACTCTTGCTAAAACAAATAAAAGAGCTGAAAGAAAGCACACTGTGTAGATATGGAGAGCTCTCAGATTGTGCACAAGATGAATGGGCCCTTCATGGATTCAGATCTTGGCACTTGTTCTCTGTATTGTATGAAGGCAGATTGATTGATTTTCAGACTGATGTGAAGGGGAAAAAAAGACAGAAATTCCAAGTCTGAAGCCCACCTATATCCTGCACACAAACATTTGCCAATAGGCAGTGTTAAAGAAAGTCAAATGGAACAGAGACAGAAGTTTGGGGCTTAGCATAGTTTTTACATTCAAAACAACTAAAAATAGCTCTTCTTTCTGAGCAGAACTCTTCTGTGTGTGTGGGCTCAAAGTCATAACTGTTGCCTTTCCTGATGAAGGATTTTTTTAGAATTCTTTGCTCCTGTTTGCAATAGAAAGCCAACAGAGATAGGGACAAATGAACTAATTTCTATTTTGGCTCGCATGCCACTGTAATTCTTAACTGTTCTGCAGAGGCAGAATATTTTTGTTGATGGACAAGGCTGGTTTCCTTTCAGACCACATGCTGAATTCACAGACCTGGCTGTTAGGAGCAGTGTGCTTGAGAGGTGCAAGAGTTTGCTACGGAAGTAGCAGGAAGGCAGTACACAAGGAATCTGCAGTGCTGCTTTGGGATTGCCACATTCTGATGGGCAGGAAAGTCCTGATGCTGGACACATACCTGGACCAGCTTTGTCAGACTGTGTAGCCTTGTCTTGTCCTGTTGTCCTACCTCCTGCCAAGTCAGCATCCTTTGCTCATGCAAATATCTATTGCAGGGGAATGTTTGATTTAGAATTTTACAGGCAACAAAAGCTCTCAGCTGCTTGTACTGTTCTTGGCTACTTGCACTATTAATTTTTGTTGGGGTTTAATTTCAGACACACTATAGTCATAAGGACTTTAACTAAGATGAGGTGTGCCCAGGTCACTGGACAGACTAGCTGATAACAGCAGAAGGATTTTTTTATCTACATTAGATCCTGTGCAGCTCTGCTTTGCCAGGCAGGGCAGGAGCCAGCAAGCAACTGTAAACTGCCAGAGACATCCAGGACGTGCAGGCAGAAGCTGTGTTTCCTGGGGCTTGCTCCTTGCCGCAGCAGGAGCTGATAGATTATAGTCTCTGCAGACTTCAGGTGATGCTGAGGAGGTTGTGGGATTGGGACTGTGAAAAAACAGCATCTCCCAGCTCCTGCTAAGTTGTTATTAACCACAAAATACAAATGCAGGCAGACACTAACTAGCTGCTGACCTCTGAGATAGGGAGTGTGGTTTTTCACATTCCTGATCATGCTTTCAAGTGTGTCACAGCCCTAAGAAAATAGGGTCTGCTCAGCTTTGCCCCTGTCACTTCAGAAAAATGCCCATGTACCTCAGCTTGGGAAGCATCAGCCTAGCAGGGATCTTCTAGTGAGGGAAAAGAATGTAAAATGCCATTCTGGACCACGCCCAGCCTCTTCCCATGTTCCCTAGATGATCTGTAAAATAATTAGACCTGCAAACCGTTGGCTAATGTTTCAGACCGCACAGCTCAGTAGGATCTGGCAGAAGAAAAAGTCTTCGGCGTGTGCCAGCAAAGCACACAGGCACTATTTATTATCCATGCGTTAGTGCAAAAACAGTTCACTACAAATCAGAATGCAGAACCTCACTGCAAACAAACATACGCTTGTTTTCCAGTATACGGGTGTGTAAGAAAGAACAATCTGTTGTAATTATCCTTACTCTAATTAAAGAGAATTCCATTAACACATTCATAAAGTTACTACAGCATGAAGGCAAACACACAATAATGTTGTGTGTTTGTTAGTGCAAAGACAGGCTCCAGCTCTCTTCAACAATGTGGAGAGGAGAGTTGCTGCAGTGCCTCTTGCCTGACAACGTACACATGGAGAGACTGGAAGAGAAAATCTCTCATGCCAGCAAGGGAACAGCTGGGGCTCCCTTTCCTCTGATCCTCAGGTGGGCAGTGATCTGGCAGTCAGTCCTGCATGGCTACTCCCAAAAGTACACAGATAGCCAGTGCTCCTTGAAGCCAGCAGCTTCCCAGCCTACGCACAGCAAGCAGAGCAGTAACTTGGTAAAACTGATTGGACACATCCACCAGCATGTCAGGCAGCCACCTCTGAGGACCACAGTTCATCCCCAAAAGCAGAGGCTGAGGAAATCTGTTCCAGTCCTCAGCCAGAGAAAGACATTCCTAAGAGGATTCAACACCTATATAAGGCACTGCATTGAAGTCCTGCAATCATTTTTCTCTCATCTGTATTTGTGCTATACTTTGCTGTCTCGTGGCTCTGGCTTTTGAGAAAAAGAACTGCAGGGAACTCTGCCTTCCCACGATGAAAACATATTAATCTATGGTAAAGAAAATGAGAAACTCTTCCTTCTTGTCTGTGTTGCCTCAGTTCTGTGAGTGATGCATAACCTCAAGCCTTTATTTCAGTAAGACATTTTTACAGGGAATGAGGGCTTTAAAATTTCCATGCATTTGCTCTTACCACATGCATAGCTGACGTTTAGGTGTTTTGCCACTCCAGGTAGGCACGGACTTCCAAAATCTTGGCTACTGACAATAATTTTGCATCTCTGTTTCCCATAACACCTCTTTGATAAAACTTCTAGCGCTGTGTGAGACAAGCAGTCTGAAAGAAAAACACATCCAATAAATACACAACTCTGCTGTTATCAGGCATAATAACTGCTATGTGCACAGCTAAAGATACAAACCTACTATCAATTTCACACACCTGCGCTTGCCTAAGCAGGATTTCAGAATTAGGTATTAACATTTGTGAATGCAAGGAAGTCAGCACGTGATGAAATGGAGGATTTGCAGCAAATTGGCTCCCTCATGATGACTTCCAGTCGTGTACTAAGGCTGCAGTAAGATTCAAGTCAAATTTCAAATGAGGTGCCTTGCAAACGTCCTCTCTGTTCTTTTCAGGATAACCTGGAAGAACTAAGCATCTTCACACAGCTCTCCACCTGCTTCACCTGCTCCACCTTAAGATGAGTGTGCCAGTAAAGGGCAATGCAGTGCTGTTTGCAGGTCTCCCCCTCCTCTCCCAGGATTATCACCACGGTTTGACTGGATGCCCAGTTTCAGTTCAAGTTAGGTGAGATCAATTTCTGTGCACTGCAACAGCTCGGTCTACGGTGAAATCAAGAGTAGCTTATGATTTACTCTGCCTGGTGCTGCTAGGAGCCATTCTGCTATGGCCAAGAGGTCAAAATAGGCTCAATGTTTAACCAGAAAATCATTTGACTTCTCTCTGCCATACAAAATGCTGCACTGCTCCCATCAGGCTGCCAAATTTGAATGCCTAAGGCAATGTCAAAGGCACCTACAGTGCACTGTACTAATGCTCACAGCTGCACCTGCCTGCATTTGCTGGGACGGGGATTTTTTCACTCAAGTTTTCTACGTTCCACCATGATTTATAAATGAATGAGACACCGTCAGCAGATTTTACACCAAAGCTGAATTTGAATGGGAAAGTTTGTGTATCAGATAAAATTTGTGTGTCAGAAAAAAAATTTAAAATTCTGCTTTAAAAAAGAAACATCTCTAAATGTGATCGAATTCTCAGTATCCGTATCAGCTAAACCCCAATCTAAAGAGCAAAAATACCTTCTGGTTCTTGTTTTGAAGCAGAAAATATGCAGAACTTGAAAATCTAGAGTAAGGAATGTTTTCCTTACAAGATGTCAGTGTTTCCTCACACTTTTGGTACATTTCTATGAATGACAAACATTTCTCATTCTACTTCTCCCTGGGCAGCAACATTCTATAGATTTGACAACATGTTCTCTGTTCATTAGAACTATCTTTCCTTCTGTAAAAACCCTGAGACAAACATGGCATCTTCACCTTCCAGCAGCTTAAGCTCATTTGTGCCTCTGCAGAGAAAGGAGAAATCATGTTCACAAAGACACTCTATCACCTTCTCAAATCAGCTTTGTTTGAAAAGAATGAAGAGAACTGAGACTGAGGTTCTCGGCGAAGAAGATTGACCTCCAACATATGTAGTTGGGGTAGATCTGTGATTTTTAGAGTTAATCCCTTGACACCAGCACTGTCATGTATGTAAACAGAACATCAGAAGATACTGGGCTGATCTGTCTGGCAAAAGGCCCAGGGATCAGTGCTGAAGATAGATGTTAGAGAAGAGCAACTTTCTCTTTCTCGGGACCTAAGAACCTAATACTTGGAAGGCTGTTCATCGGGCAAGGAAATCTGTCTTGAGACACTGAATAGCTCTGCTTAAATAACTCAATTATTTTAGTCTTTCTGGCCATCAGCTAAGAATGCGCTCAGGTGGACACTTTAGGCAGCTAAGCAGCATCTTTTGGCAAGCATGAAAACAACTGAAGAATATCAGGAGGAACTATCAGATGATTCATAAATCATAGAATCATCCAGGTTGGAAGTGAGCTTCAGGATCATCACATCCAACTGATGAATAGATTGGGAGAACAACAGCAATCTGGCGAAGTTAATTATATGTTCTCCAAACTCTCCTGCCCTTTGAGCTGCATGCAGTGTCTTAAGGAAGAGCCAGCTGTTGCGCTGATGGTTTTCTACAAAGTCAGTGATACAGTGAGTGCATGTTTCATTTTGCCTCTGGTAGCTGTTTGCTCTTGCTCTCTGAGAGTTAATAACTCCTTATCGCCTACATTCATGTTGGCTTTGGCTCCTCTACCATCATGTGCCTGTAGGCTCCTGGCAGGCCTGTTTTTGGAGAGCTCTGCAAGGCTTGGCTGGTGTCACAGGTGTGTGAACACAAATTAAGGCTGGCTTGCTTCTGCAGGGCAGCACAAACGTTAACTGAAGAGATCCATAACAAAAATGAAACAAAGCAAAACAAACCAAGCACTACTTAACAGCTCTCTGTGGTATAGCAAGGTTTTGGCATTTAGTACAATCAAAACCTGTTCAGTTTCCTTCTCTCAGTTCTGTGTGTGTCCTTGCTACCTCCCCAAGCTGTCCTGGCAGCTCCAGTGAAGGCTGAACCATGAGTTCAGCTCAGAGGAATTCTGTGTACTCAGTACCAAAGGCCACTTTTTCATCAGCTGCAGCTTCATCTGCACTATCTCCTACAAGCAGACGTTACAGAAGTGTATCTGCAGTGAAGTCAGAGGAGTCGGTGTGTACTGAAGAGACACCCAAGCTATTTTCAATGAAACTTTCTTGGGGGTCTTATGACAAACCAGCTGCAGCAACACAGAGCTGATGCTGGGGATAACGTCTCCTTCACAGAATCACAGAATGGCCTGGGTTGAAAAGGACCACAAAGATCATCTAGTTTAACCCCCCCTGCTGTGTGCAGGGTCGCCAACCAGCAGACCAGGCTGCCCAGAGCCACATCCAGCCTGGCCTTGAATGCCTCCAGGGATGGGGCATCCACAGCCTCCTGTTCCTTCAGGTCATACATCTCACTGAAGCATCTGAAAGAGGACGAGGTTCAGTCCGTGCTTAAATTTGAGTAAATGAGTGAGTAGTCCCACTCAGCAGTCCTGAAGAAATCACAAATTAGGAGAATATAAACATTTCTTGTGTCTTCTTCCTGAACATCTAAAGTACTGTTTGAACTAAGCTTACATTTTATGGGGCTTGCTAAATTGGTACCAGATGTTTAAAATAAACTGCCTCTTGAAAAGCACTTTCTCAGAACGCCAGGAGGTTGGTGACACCCCCAGCAGTGGCAGAAAGGCCGCTCTGGATGGCTGGGAAAACACTCATTTTTCATTCCCTCCTGTCAGAGCTGCCTGTTACACATCGTGAGTGCTGGTGAGTCCCTTGAAATGCACGCTTCTATGTGTGGCATGGAAATATGGGCATGAAGCAGAGGCTCTTAACACAGTGGTAAATTATCAAACCTGACTGCAGCTATTTAACAGTTAGAGCAGAAAGCCTTGTTTCTGGAGGCAAGGCTCTTTCAGCTCCTTAATTAGCTTTGTTTAGGAAAGTTTTGGCATGCAAATGACATGCCATAAATCACGCAGGCTTTAATGAGTAGCAATTTGTTTTCCGATTCTTCAAAGCTTCTCTCGATTCAGACCTCAGGAGCTTTCCCTTCCTTTCTTTGCCTCTTGCCACACAAGAGCTGCAGGTGATGGAACAGCCAGAGCTGGCCCAAGAGTTTTGTGCCAAGCACTGCCAACAGCCTCTGCTCACACCCTCTGCTGTTTTCTGACTGGCTGCTGTTTTCTCCCACATTGCTATGCATAGGGCACAAGATGTGGTGAGTGAGAAATGTGTCTCAAACGCAGATCCATACTACATGAAAAGTAACACGCTGATGAAGGACCAGGGCTCCCATAAGAGGAACCCCATCTCAATTTTTCATTTTGGTGCTAGAGTCCAGTTGCTCACTGCTTTCATCCCAAACTGCTGGCTGGCTTATAGTGCTTTATGTTTTCTGGGCCGTGTCTACCCACAAAAGAATAAGGAGCACGCTTTTAAAATCAATTGAAAGCAAAGATTTCACACTATCAAATCAGCATGGCTTGTGCTTTGTAGAGCCCAGATATCAGCTGTGAGAACAAGAAGTGACAAGGGGAAACTGTGGAGTTCCGGACCAAGCTAGGGCTGCATACTCCTAAAGAAAGTTTCCATAATAATATGGTAATTTATGCAAAAGCATGGCACACAGGGTCCTGCCTGTGCATCAGAAAAGGGCAGATGGTGCTGCTGATTCCAGCAAAAACATTTATGAGAAATGGTGCTGGTATCTTTATATTCCAGGTCCAAGTTCTGCCAGTATGCTATGCTAAAAATACTTATTGTCAGAACAGGCCATTCCTTACGAGTGAATACTATACCATGGCATTCCACAAAGCTGCCCTATCTCTCTCCCATGCCACACAGCAGCAGCTCATGTGCCTGCTGGAGGCTCCTTTAGCCTACAGGAGATTAGCCCATTATTTGGTGTTATTTACAAGTGGCTTGGAGTTCAGAATTCAGCCTCTAAGCACTTGGTGCAGTTTTCCTCTGCTTGCACACACATAGGTATGGAGCGAGGGCCAGCACAGATGCCCAGTAGAGGATACAAGTGGAGGTCTATACTACTTGGATGGAAGCAGGAACTGAGCTCCTTCTGCTCAAAAGCCTACAGCTTTGTTTTGCACAATTTGGTTTGTAACTCTATTTTAAACTTGAGTGTCAAGTATACTTCTCCAACTGTTCAAAAATCTAAGCTAGAAGAACCCAGGTACAAGGAAAACCCTGTAACCCTGAAGAAAACACTAACGGATGAAGTGCTGTCTCCCACACGTGACAAGACAGCAGTGGCAGAAGCTGCAGAGGGAGATGTTAACCTTCCTCATGTCCCTGAGCCCTGACACTGCTACAGAACCATGCCTCTGCATCTACTCTGCTCACAGCATCCTGCTGCCTCGTCCCCTGGAGCACAGCTGGGATATATTTGCTCTTTCACCATGAACCTGTATGCTGTGTTACCAAAATAACTGTTCTGCAGTCTCAGATTTCTTCTGTTCTGGAGCCTGCCACTTGTATGACTGTCCACAGGGTTTGTGTCTGAAATCAACTTTAATTAGCTAGTAATATAAGCTAAGCACGTGAAGCATGGGAATAGCAGAGTATGCCCAGGCCTACAGCTGATGGTACTTGCAGTCTAGAAAGGACTCAGTCATGTTGTTTTCAGCAGCTTTCAGCTAGAAATCCTCACTCCTTCCTCCAGCAAAGCACTGGACTCAGAGCTCCTGCTGATCTACTCAGTGCTCCTTCAAGTGTCAGTATTTCAGTGGCCAATGTTTCCCAAATTCCACCCAATTTACATGGTTTGTGATTTACAGCACCTAGAAATATACAGCTAGCATGAACCTAGCTACTTTGGTGTTTAAGTATTTCCAGATCTGCCTGCATCTATCTGTACTTTTACTTCATTTACAGCTGCTCTGGAGAGACTTACACAAGGAACTGGCTCATAGCAGGAAGAGTATACATCTCCTGATATGAGAAGGAGCCAAAAGCTTTTCAGCCTCTGTTGCTGAATAAGAGATAAATTGTCCACTATATATATATATATACACATATATATACACATTTGTTATATACATATATAACAAATAAAAGGAATCATGACATCACAAAATACCCTTATATAACTTAATACCTTGCTAGCTAGAAGGCATCTGCAGGATTCTGGACAACTCTGCTTCCTGTTAATACCCCTTTTTCTTGCCTGAATATTATTTCAATGGGAAGAGGGGATTAGACAAAATCTAGCCCCAGGGTATGTTATGCCATGGTGTAAAGTATGGCATGTGAGTGCCTGAATTTGTCACAGAATGCACTTCTTTAACCTCCACAAAATGGGAAGAGGCTAAAATGAGGGCTGTGCTGGGAAGGACCCTACCTTTCATTAATACAGATGGGCAGTTCTGGGTTCTGTTTGTCATTAGTGCTTGAGGAAGCACACTTCTGACCAGTCAATGCACATCCAGGTAACATTTCTGGTAAGTACATTTTACTGTTCTGGCTTGCAAGCTGCAGCAAGAGGCTACCTACTACCAAGCCTTCTTTCAAGTATTAACAAGAGTAACCTATGATTTGAGAGGTGTTTGTTGTTCTGAATCTTCCTCATACTCTCTATTGTAACCTGTTTTGGCACAACTCTCACTTCATTTGGCCAATAAATTTTGTCTTTCCTCTTGTACATGTTTGTACAAATGTAAAAGACAGAGTATGTCAGAAAAAAACCAACAGAGGAAACAAATGCTACAGGCTCCTATTTGTTGGAGATCTGTTGAGCACAATAGATTCTGCTACACAGAACTGCATCCAAGCAAATCTTAGCTTTCTTGTAAAGTTTTTGATTGTGGCAGCCATGCTGGATGCTGACCTGGGGCCCAGGGTCCCACAGATGCTCTGAGGCCATGCAGATGTTGTCGATAAAGAGACAGATTTATATACTGTTTACCATATGGAGAAGAACCCTTATGCTAAAGAAATTTTACATTTTCCCGTGTTTCATTTCAAGCACAGCTGTGTAAGTCTGACAGCTGATTTGATACACTGTTCACTGAAAAGTAAACTGATAATTCAGAATACATCTGTCTCAGCTCAGTGCTGCTGCATGCCAGTAATGGCTTATCAGCCACAATGCACAGAACGCGAGGTGGCCAAAACCTAGAGAAGTATCTAATTAATTCAACATCCAGTACTTCTAGTAGGAACAAACCCAGTAGGAATAAAAGCAAAACTCTGAGCTCAACAGAGACTTCCTATACCAGTCATCAGAAACTACAGACAACTTCTTATTTGCATAGTACTACAAAAAATGTCACGCAGCTTTCCTGTGATGCAGTGAAAGAAATGGTAGGGCTTGACCACTGTCTTTAGGCCAAAATGCACAAACGTGAGTTTGAGCTGGAGCAGATTTAGCTTTTGATGCAAACATATAGGGGCTCTGATTCTGGAACAAAAAACAGCTGCACTACACTTTCTAAATTGCCTCAAATCGTTGAAATGATGTTGACATTCAAACTACCACTGCCTTCTCAGAGAAAAAGTATACTGGCATTTAAATAGCCTAATTATGCATGCACTGTCATCTGTATGGGCTTAAATAACCACATAAGTAAGATTTAAGCTCCAGATGGATAGAACGGGAGTCAATTGGATTTTGTTCCTAAGTGCTAAGTCCCTTGGGATAACTGAATGTATACTCCTAAGCACATAAGTGCTCTGGAAGACTGTACTCACTGTAGGGTGTTACTGGCACTATGCAGGAAGAGGCCAACTACTTCATTAAATAATGGGAAACCTGTACCAGGGTCTACCTTCTGCAGCTCTACCTTGTGTTTGTCTCAAGTTTTATGTTCTCTCCTATTGCCAGTTTTAGGTTGTTTTCCAGAACACAAAAAGAGCAACAGTCAAAAAGTGCTTTTATGCAGGCAGTCAAAGCACAGATTTTGCTTTCTTGCAAATTCCTCATCTGTTTACACTGACTTTATCCAGCAAGAAGACTTTGCAGTATTATGATCTATAGAATACAAGTTCTATAGGACACTGTAGGAAAGTAAGCAATTTTCAGAGGTAAAAGAAATACAAGAAGTAAGCAAGTGTGATGGTCTTCCTCAATCAACTGAGCTCTTTCTGCTCTGCCTGGAGTCATACACTAAGGCCGTCATCACAGAGAATATATGGGTCCTTCAGAAACCTGCTAAAATATTTCCTTTGTAGAACAAATAAACATAGCTACAGTTTGTGTTAGAATAGCCAGTGTGAAATACGGACCTGGCAGTTTTAAGTAGATTCTTGCAAAAGAACAGAATACATTTTTCAGCCAATACATTTTTAATACTTATAAAACTAAATAGAAACACTGGCTTGCAGACAAATTGCTTTTAAGACTAGTTATTGATCTCTCTTGTTCAGAGACGCAATTCAGATTACAGATTTCACTTGTAGCAATTTCTCAGAAGTGAGTAAAGTTCAGGCTTTGCACAGGACTGGTGTCAGCCATCTAAGTCCTTAACTGTGTGGTGTGAAGGGAGGTAAGCAGCACGCAGATCCTGCACTGGCTTTCTCCACAGCATGAAAACATACCTCCATGCTTTTGGTGTCTGGCATTGAATGCATTATTCATACAAGCATCCTCACAAACACATAAAATATATAGTTAGGTACCTAATGATAAAAACTGAGCTATCAGTCTTGCACCAGTTGAGACTTTGAAGTCAGTGATTGGTAATTGATGCTGACCGTAAACTACTGATGATGTTTTGGGTTCTTCTACCTGTTTGAAGGGGAACAGCGTGAGTTTGATAATGCTCATAGTCTGTCACCAAGGTGCTAACACTATAGCAACATTACTATATTGGCTAGATATATTACTACAGCAACACTAATATTCACATCCCTCAAGATGCACCTGTAGTAAACCAGCAGTGACAGGGAAACATTTCTAACACTAACACAGTTCTCTGAGCTGATATCTGTGGTCCCTGCACTTTTCTGGCCAGTACCAACAGCTCCCATCACAATTAAGGCTGGTGAGCAGTCCCAAGAGTCAGACTGCATGCAGCCATCCTGCTTTGGGGGTGAGGGCTAGGTGCTACACACACACATCATTTCCTGTTTTCTGGGCTCCTGCCAGAGAGAAGCCCCAGATGGATCTGATTTACTAGCACACTACCACAGTCTTGGAGTTGGGTCATACCACTGTATCCAAAGCAGTGGGTCCTGACCTGTGGACCTCATCCTGACTGTCTGCACTTAAGGCAAGGAGAGATCACTGTGAAAGGCATCAGAAAGACAAGGTGGCATGATGCTCATATTGCCTGGTCTTTGTCAGACATTGGAGGAAGATGAGAACCAGCAGCTGATATTCAAAACAGTCACTTAAGTTCAAGAGAGCCAATAGAAAGAGTATTTGAGAGTAATCATAGCAAAAATTATTAACTACATCAAGGGCTATTACTTTGCTTACATTTCTTACTCATTTCTCCCTTGTGCTAGGCAGTTTGTTTGAGTTTCAGAAATAATCTCTCATGCTTCAACCACAAACACTTCCAAAATGCCACTGCTCTCATGCCTGACCCTTTCTCCCCACCCATGCCCCCTTTTCTGTGCACCCACATGGAGAAGGTCTATTGAGAGCATACTAACTTACCAAACTGAGGGACACGTTCTGCCTTGGCCGAGCAGATGTTGTCCTTGTGTGCCCAACTGCCGTAGGTGGCAGAGTAGATAATAAGGAACTTGGACTCTTGACAGTGGAGTTTCAGTTCCTGGTTTTCACAGGCTGATTTGGTTTTGTATTCAGCTGAAATAGAAGCAAAAAACAATACAGTAGCATGAGGCAAGTTTCTCAGCTAGACTGTTAATAGCAAATAGCAGCATGACAGAAAACAGCTTTTCTGCAAGTTGTTTTTTGAGTGATATGTAGAACAATTACAACCACAGACAAAGCCAATAGCAAAGCGGAGCATTTCCTCCAACTAAATTGTTCCCTCGTGACTGCCTGAAGCCTCCAGCTCTTTTTAAAAATGAATTGAAATACTAACTTTTGCCAATCTCCTCTCCCACTGGAACCTCCGCCCCCATTCCTGCCTGCTTTTCTGGCCTGCTTTTCACTACTGTTCGGGAGGACAAACCTTATCCTTTCCTTTTGTACCTCCCCAGGACAATGTTGCATTCTGTGCCCATTCCAAATGCTGTGGCCTCATCAATCACGGAGGCGGCTGGCATCGCTGGCGGCACAGCACGCGGCACCAAGCGAGTGCCGAAGAATGGAGGACAAGTTGTGAGCCCTGAGCCAGGCAGTGCTCTCAGCTCTGTTTGCATCGCTCCACCAGTCAGTGGGTTTCCCTGGGTGTGACCACCCGGCAAGGCTCCTTTGAAAGTTTTGCTGACAAAGCAATGTGGATCAGGAGCCTGAGAAAAACACCGCCCTCTCTCTCTCAGGGGGCACGGGCAGGCTGGCAGAGCTCCCCACATTGAGAGGGATGACCTTTGGGACAGTGTGGATGATCCCACCCAGGCACAAACCTAGGCTGGGTTCTGCCATCCCTGGCCTCCCTGGCCTGGCTACAGTGCCACACCATCCCTTCGTGCGGTTGAGGCCAGGGAGAAGAGTTCATTCTGCTCAATGCTTTTGTCTTTCAGTCATGTGAAAACAGGAAAGAAGGTTCCTGAGCCAAGCAGGAGCAAAGGGAAATCTTACTGTTACTGAGGGAGCAGAGTGTGGGTGTAAGTGCTAGGGGATCCAGAAAGAAAAACTCCTATTTATTCAATAAAGGAAACACTGTTCCATTTAGAATAGATCATTATTTTTTTTTAAGGGTTAATTTTCCCTCTTTAAAGTCCCTTCCAGTCCCTGCACTGCCATGGGGGTCGTACCCCAAAATGGCGGCTCTGACCCCAGGGCTGGCAGCCTGAAGTTGGGCTCTGCCTCTTGTGAGGCTGTGAGGAGGGAATGCAGGACAGACCCATGGGCATCATGAGGGTTGGCATACAACAGACATGTCTGCAGAGATGCAGAGGGAAGGGCAACATTTCCGAGGAGATGAAAAACTAAGGAATTTGGGTAATCACTTCAGCGCTCACTTGAAGGAGGCAAGGAGTTTGCAACATATGCTTAAAATGATACCCAAGCAATTTCCTGAATAGGGATGCTCTTCCAGCCAAGTCTAACAATATTGGTACCTCATCTACAAATATAAATTTCCTGCTGAATGAAATAATGTACTTTGCACTGGAACTGGACTCTCTTCTATTCTGAAAGCTAAATACACTTTTGACCAGCTTTTGTAATATTTGTACCACAGACAGTATTATGTGTTCAAAGTAACTTATCTAAATATGAATCTAAATACAAATATAAAAAATATCTAAAATATTAAAATAATAATTAAAAACTAAAAAGAGGATCCACTTTTCATTAGTAGAAGGAGATTTCTAATGAAAACAGTCACAATTGCTATATTTGATTTTACTTATTGTATTTATCAGTAATGTAGTAATCGTAGTATATGAAAAAAAAAAAAAAGAAATATTAGTAATAGGTAATAAAACAGGTCACAAAAATGATAAATTCTAAACAGTCTTAGATAATCGGCCCAATAAATCTCTCTGCCAGTTCTTTTGTCAGTGCTTTGCCAAAGGTGAGATCTATTCCTTTCCATCTTTGCTCTTCAGTTCTCTGTTGCATACTTTGTATGGAGCTTGCTGTGCCACATTTATTCTTATTCCACCAATGAAGCCTATCCTGATGCTTTGATTAAAGAAAATCTCTTTCATGTTTTCTCCTTTAGCTGTGGGATGGTATCCTGTGTTGGCTGGTGAACCTCCCCATAAATAATTCCACAAGAATTTTCTTTGGGATCCACTTCAGCCATACTGGAAATTAGCTGACAGAAACAGCTGAGCCCCTGGGCAACCAGGGCTTGTTCTCACACATAATAGCAACAAGAAAAACAATTGAAAGAAAACAAAACAATAAATTAAACCTCATCATGATTAACTTTTTTGACGCTTTTCTCATGTTTGCAAAGACGGTTCTCTTTAGGGCAGGATTTGCCCCTTTTCCATGCCAATGTCAATTACCTGTTTAGGATACAGGTAATTCTATAACAAATGGTAGATAATAACAGAGGATCTTTGAAAACTTTGGTCCTACTTCTTAAGCATTTTTGCATACTTCTTCTTATGAGATCTTCTTCATCATTTGGATCCAGACATCTGCTTTTGCTGTTCAGCTCTGTATTTCTAATAAGACATTATCATTGCCATCACTTTAAAAATAATTTCCAAAACATTTTTCCTTTAGAGTCTGACATCTGACATCTGGTTCTGACAAACTACACTGGTCACTAAATTGGCAGCAAGCACAGTGAAGTTGTAAGCACAGCAGAGAGCCAAGGCAGGATAGAAAAAAAGCAACTTGTTATTAATCTAAGAGTCTCAAAACTCAACATGGATTTATATAAAGCTTTGTGCAGTGCAGTGGCATTCTAACCAAAACAAAAAAATAAAACAGACAAAAGCACATTTTTCTCTTGTTTTTTACTTACTAGGCTTGCATTTAAAGGAGACAAGGAGGAATTTAGTGGTCCCTGGACATAGATCAGGTCCAAAAACCCGACTATTGACAAGAAGTTGGCAGGATCTCAGGTTTTGGCATTCATCCAGTACTTTCTAGAACAACAGGCAAAAGGGATAGTCTTGAAAACAAAGTATGAAGCTATACAGCAATGACAACATTTAGTTGTACTTTGTTCTATACAGGAGACAAACTTCCTTCACAGCTTTCTGGCCACAGACATGTAATACATCTGTATCCCTGGATTTAGGCCACATCTCCTATGGCCTCTGAGCCTCAGCCAAGTTTATGGCAACACATTCATAGCTGCATTATCAGTGGCAGTTGAGGATGCTATCAATTCACTGTTGCTAGTTACTCTTCTCTCTGACCCCAGACAGTCAGCAAGACACTGCTGCACGCCACCACAGCCTACTGATACTTGGGACTATGCACAGAGCCAAGAACATGTGTAAGTCTACCCTTAACTTGTTTCTTTCTTTTCTTTTTTTTCTTCTTCTTTTTTCTTTTTTTTTTTTTTTAAATGTCATTTTAAGGTCAAATCTATGTTAGATCTTTTGGCATAGCAATAAACATTACTGTGGTAATGGTCCTTACTGTGCTGTTTCTCTGAGTGGCAACTGAAGGAGGACAACAGGAAGGTCACCACTGTTACACACAGAGAGTCTTGTGGACCTTCTCTAGGCTCAGTTAAAGGATCATGCATTCCTAATACTTTCAGTAATATTCTCACTTAGTGCTTTCAGACCTGTAGCTATGATGGTGAAAGAAAACATGAAGATGCTGTAGAAGATGACTCTGAGACCAGCTGTAACCCAGTCACACCCCAAAGCATCTAAAAAAAATAATTAAAATGCAGCAGCATACTTATGAAATTCCTATTCACCTCCAGAGCCCAGTTCAGAGGCTTTCTGTATACTATTTCCCATAGTAGGGGGGTTGGAACTAGATAATATTTAAGATTCCTTCCAACTCAAGCCATTCTATGATTCTCTGATTGCTGTCCCCCTGATTCTTGATATATAAAAGCACAACACACTAAGGAGGGCATTATCTTTATGTCACTCAGCTCTAAATAGGAGTAACTGTAATATATAATTCTCAGACAGTTTTAGGTACTTTCATAAAATCTAGGGTTTTTTCGGTCCTGTTTCTCATTAAAGGGCTCTGAGTCATACCAAGATGCCAAATCACAAATTCACCACTGAGATTAGCACAAGCTGCACTCTTGTTTCCAGGCTTGTTTCCAGACAATTGGCAGTGGCTGAGCCTCTCCTGCCATCACTGGAAGCCATCCTTCCCAAACAGAAATGATACACATTGGCAGCATATTGCAGTCATCCTGTAACATTCTTGTCTTTTTGTTTCCCTGCGTAGCAGAAGACAATGTGCGTCCAGTACTTTTTCAGCATTAAGTGCACACTGTAGATTTTAAAAGGGAAAGAAAAGCCCAGCAGATTTAATTTTATCACTCAACTATTCTTTTAAAGAGTTGCAAGTTACACAAACAGCTCCTCCTTAATAAGGATTGTTTTGGAGCAGGACAGTGAAATAGAGTTACGACTTCAGTAAATGAAGAATGGCTGTCCCCTACTGAGTCATCTTGCACCCGAGCTGAATCATCTCCTGTGCATCTGTTTGTATTTTCTCTTGCTTAAGGCAAAGAGTAGTCACATTCTCTATCACGCTGCCGCACAAAAGCATGCAACTATGAAAGCAAACAATGATAATCATAACAAGACAGCTCAGGGTTATTAACATCTCAGGACATATCAAATTTTGCAGTAATCCTTTTAATAGGAGGTCCCCATATGGAATGCCTGTTACACATCCTCAGGGCTGCAGGCTGCATCACGCCTATTTAAGCGGACTGCAGATGTAGTTCCAAAGGGAAGGGGAGGAGGGATGAGATCACTGGTGCTCTTTCTCTAAGAAATCAGTTTACAGGATATTGCTCTTCTCCTTGACAGAACCGGAACTCCCTAAGATGCATAGCATTTGTATGTCTCACATTTGTGGCCCTGTCAGAGTGATTTCATGTCTTTGATCAGTGACAGTGCCCAAACAGTGATGACAGTTTATACAACAGTTGTCCCACGCTGTGTTTATTATATGTAAGGGGGAAAAAAAAACAACTGCAAAAGGAGACCTCACAAAGATGCTCAACATCACAAACCCAAAATAATCATTGGTGTTGCCTCAAGTAATCAGTAAAATGACATCAAGGATGCATCTGGCTTACTGTTTTTAGTGGAGAGCTGTACTTTCACATGGCCCACAGGTCAAGGCTGGAATGTCTTTAGCAGTTGCAGTACAGCATGGGCAAGCCACACATATAAACTATGGGCCTAATAATGTTTCTGGAGAGAAGATGTTACTGCCAAACAACTCCATAAAACTCTTCAGCTCACTAGTAGTAGAAACAGATGTTCCCTGTTGTCAAAGAGTGACGTGTCAGCTACAAGCACAAACATTGCAAGCTTCATCAAAGCTTCTGTAAAGCACTTACAACAGCTTCACTGACAGAACATGTTTAGATTCCACTGACTACACATTTTTCCAATGATTTACTGAATTAGGTTTAACACTGCTATTTCCACTATGATGAAACAAACCTTTAACAGCAGTGTAAGCCAGCCCTTCTAAGACCTGTTAGAAGTCTCCATGGCAGAAAGCAATAATATATGAAATGTAAATCATTTTAAATTATATTGAAGTGGACTTGGGAAACAAAATATACGATATTTTTGATACAAACCACGTATTCTTTGAAACGTAGGTAGCCATAGAAGTGCTTAGAATCTGCTGTTTAGCTGCCACAGGCCCTTTCAGTGGCGACAGCATGGAGCAAGCCAAATCCTACCAAGATGTCAGCTAACTCAGTGGATTTGTAACCCAGCTGTGTTAAAAATTTGCGTCCTCTGCTGGGGATAAGGAAAGCCCATGTGATAGATAAAGGCTGGTCTACTGAGCCATGACAGATATTTGATTAGAAGGGAACTGATTACTTTAGGGAACATTGAGAATGTGGTTTTAAAAGTAAGGCTTATCAAAATGGAAGGAAATCTACACAGCTTTCACAGTCTACGGTAATATCTTGCTGGCCAGATGAATCCTTTCGGGTGCAATACTTTTTGTGACAAACTGACAAAAACACGGTGACATTTCATTTAACACTTGCAGTTTTCCTGCAGCATAGCTCACTGCATGGAAGTCTACAGGCATGCTGTGCAAGATGAACCTTTTCAAGATGTGATACCTGCAAGGAGGTGGGTGCCACACAGTTTGTGGGTTCTGTCATTCTGGCTTCAGGCTGTTGTGTGCCACACATTTGGTAGTCTTGCCCGTAAAGTGCTGACTGAATACTTATTGTTGAATGCCGAGGACAGTGCAGACTCAAACGTTCCCCATCGCAGGCATAAGCAGTATGATTTTGAAGAAGTTTGGTTAGGTAACCTAGAAAATATTCAGCTGTGTTACAACTAGTACAGGAAATGACAAGCTTGTTAGATAATATGAAAATCACAATCAGTCTCTGGAAAAGGGCACTGCAGTCAAGGTTAAACATATGGCCCGCTGCCACAACACCCTGCTTCGGTCAGTCTTTATATGCCAGTAACAGCCAGGTCTGGAGAACAGCAGTGCTGTGGCACTGTCTCAGGGCTGCATCAGTACCCCGGCAGTGGCACAGCAGTTGGAGATGCCATTTCACAGACAACAAGGAGGACTCAGGCCCTCCTTGGTCATGTCTGTTATATCTCGGCTTAAGCCAGCCCTCTGCATTTTGAGGCTTCCTAGCAATTGTGTTACGCACAAATGACAAGGGAGGTGACTCCCTGTGGGCCACCAAGCCAGGTGCTAGGACAGCAGAGAGGAAAGGTTGTTCATAAGTGCTGGACATGGAAGCTGCTGGACAGAAACCCAAAAGCACTATATGCAGAATTTTGTATTTACCAGAGAATATCAGTGTTACCAGGAGAGGAAGAGGTAGGGTCTGCATGCAGCTGTACCATCTGTTTGCATCTTCTAATAAGTAATCCCATGAGCAACTAATGAAACAGCTAATGAAAGCTGTTCTTCTGATTTGTATTTCATCGAGTGGGCACTGTAAGCCAAGATTTCTCTTATCACCACAAGTATTTATAAAATTCATGTCCTGGTGCCCTTCTCTCTGTTCTTGGGCAGAAAACCTCCATGGAAACATGCAGACTGCTACCTTTGACCATTACAAATTAGCCATTGTGATGTGAAACTACCGGGGTTACTCAATTCAAAGAATTTCCTCACCTACACTTATGAAGTTTTGATCAGTATGTATATATAAATACACATAATGAACTGCTGCACTCATCTGAAGTCTGTCTTTATGCAGAGAATATTTGTGGGAAGGAAGAGGTGAGGGACAAGAGAGAGAAAGGACACAAAATATCAGTCTCCATGTGAAGCATGATCTTTACCACTCCCCATCAATAAACACATGGAAATTAGATCCAATACCCAACTTCTCAATATATGGAACATATAACACCAAGTTCATCCCCATTTAGAGCAAAACAACAACAACAAAAACCCAATAGAACAAAACAACAAACAAAATTCCCAAACCCAATCTATTAAGTAATGAGAAAGTACTAAGAGCTTCTCGCTTATTTGTTATGAAAAGGGTTTGCGGGAATTTTAATACTGTGACCATCATTACATAAACATCTTTTTAATTTTCAAAATTGAATTTTTCCCATCCTTGTCTGTTTTCCAATCATGTGGTTGGTCTAATTAAAGGCAAAACAAGTATTATCTCCTCAGAAATTCTGCTTATCCCACTGTGATGATAACAATATTATTACTATTAAGTACAATGGAGAAAAACCGTGTATATTTTCTTTTTTCTTTTCTTTTCTTTTTTTTTTTTTTTTTGTGGCTGAATCAGAAAGAGAACCACAATCATTTTGAATGCTAAAAAATACAAAATCAGTTTCCTGGAAGGAAAAAAATAAGAGTTTGCTCATGCTATTTAATTTTCATATTTGATGCCTTTTTAAGCCCTCAAAAGAGAAAACGATAAAGAGAGAAAGAGAGAGAGAGAGAGAGAAAGAGAAAAAGAGAAAGAGAGAAAGAGAAAGACAGGGAGAAAGAGAGAAAGATGCTTTGAAACAGAATTCCAAGTATTCCAAGTAAACGACGAAACGATGAGAAAAAGATATTCCAATCCTCTGGTGTTTTTACCACCTGCTGAAGCTGGATGAAATTTCAGCTCTCCTATCAGTTGTTAAGTTCAAAGAACAAAGCCTGCTCCACTACTGCCTTTGCCATGCCCCCTCCATAGCTCTAGAGAAGATAGGAGTCATTGGATGCATCTGCCGCTGCAGCAGAGACGTAGGTGAGCTCTGCACCTCACTGGCCTCAGAGTGCTGGCATTGCCATCAGGATGGAGAACATTTCATGACCTGTATTTGCAGCCTAGATCTCATGGAGACCAGCCATGTGGCTTCACACAGGTTAAAAAAAAAAAAAAAAAAAAAAAGAAGAAAAAAAGAAAGCAGAACCCATCCCCTACATTTTCCAGTGTAATTGAGATCACAAATAGTTGAGCTTTCCTGCCAGAACCACTCCTGTGTCAGCCTGCTCCTGAGAGGTGCTGAGTACCGCCAAGAAAATGGGCCCAATGCCCGGCTGCACCCAGCCTACTTCGCTACGGTCTGATACCGCAAAGGGGCCTCCTGTGGCATTTGCTGCCGCTGAGGGCCTTTCGCATTGCCTTTGTAGCATAAAGGGCCACAGTGTAAAAGAGTATTCAGCCCAATGTGAGTAGTGGGCACTCAACACCTTGAGAGATTTCGCCTGATATTTGTAATCATTTCGATTCTTCAGGTTTTAAGTTACGGGGAACCAAGAGTACCGTATACAAAACAGCCCAGTATTCCCTAAAGAATATCAGCTATGTTGTGATTTGGATGAGTTCCCTGGCATCTTAACTGCTACTTTGATCTTTCAAATTCCTAATCCAGTATCTAAGCACCTTTATCCAACGACTGCAACTATTCAATTCTCTAAAAAAATGTCTTTTTAAAAAACGTGCTCTTGTTCTGAATAAGCAACATGGCTCACTTGTAAAATTAGTGTTAGTTGGACTGGTGAAAATAAGACATCATGCTCTCTGGCCTTCCAAGTGGCATTTAAAGTGACACTCGCACAATGAAGGATACTATTTGCACACAATAAAGGATAAATATAGCAATGGAAATTGGCTGCTAACCTCTGATAAGAGAAGTGGTGACGTAGTACTATCCGAACCACTTGTCTCACATGGCTGACCATGTAAATCTCTTTTTTTTTTTTATAATTACTATACACACAAACTACGTAGGCACAGGTCAAGAGGTTAGCCCTTTTACAAGAGTGGTGTAGACTGGGCAGCCCACGCTAGGCAGGGCTTTGACTCTGGTCACAATTTTCTCCTGCTTCTTACCTGCAAGTCTCAAGCTGCTTTCCACTCCTGATGCTGGCACTCCTCCCTGTCCCAGGGCTCTGCCTATCCTGTGCCCACCTAGAAGACTGGACTGGACAAGGCACAGTGCTTTCTTGGAGGCTGCTGCCTATACAGAATTCTTCTCAGCAAGAGCAGTGCTGCAGTGGCACAGGCTGCCCAGGGAGGTGGTGCAGTCGCCGTCCCTGGAGGTGTTCAGGAGCCGTGTGGATGTGGCACTGAGGGACGTGGGCAGTGCGCGTGGGGGGGGGTGGGCTGGTGGTTGGACTGGGGGATCTGAGAGGTCTTTTCCAACCTTCATGATTCTGTGACTCATCTTCTCCAGACCATGAGTATCCCTATATTGTTTACCAGAAATTGGACAGAAATGCACTGCCCTCAAGGCAACACATTTAGCTGAATGACAATGTAAGGTTAGGCAAAAAATATGTTCTTATCTCTACAATTAATAGCAGCTCTGATTATCAGGAGAGAGGGCATTGTAACAGTTGAATGGGTCTGTCACTCTTTCTGAAGCACGCTTCCTTTTCTGCATTTCCCTCTGCTGGCGCAATTAAATCAGGTCATCCAAAATAGGCAGCAGGGTTGTGTCACCATACAAACCAGACTACAGGACTGTGTCACTTTCAGGCACTGGCCCAGCACATTGTCTAGGCTGCAGACACTTGGGGGCACAATTTGTTGCTCAGAATCCCCCATTTTGTTTTAATTAATCAAAGTCTGTTACTTGTAGATTCTGAGAAAACCTTTTTGTTTGGTTGGCTGGTTGGTTTTGTTCTCATTTCATTATTTTTTTCTCCCCCCCAAAATAATAAACATGACTTCTTTAAAACAATATGAGACTTCCGAGAAAATGTCAATTGTAGTGAGGTCTGGCTAAATCAGAGAAACTTGGCAATACTACAGTGTCCTAATAGCATCTGTATGCCCCTGTGTGAAAGCCCCACTAGTCGCTTTCCCATTTATCCAAGGCACATTCATGAGCATTGTATGGAGTGCTCTGCATGCAAAATCATCTCGAAGACGTTACAGACTGGCTCAGAAGTTAGGCCTGAATCATACATCCCATTGATTTGAAGGCCAGAAGGTACCATCCCACTCAACTGTCTGCATAACCCAGACTGCTCATTCATTGTAACTTCTTACAAAATACCAATGCAAAACCCAAGCGTAATCCTTTCTTCCAGAATTAGCCAAATTAGTCACAGCATCAACTGTGTTGACAAAGAACTCCAACTAAAAAAATGTAGCACCAGAAAAATGCACAAAACACTGAGACCAAGCAGCTAAACAAAGATTTAAGCCTTATGGATCACTTCTTGTTGCAAAGGAGGACAGTAACGACAGAGGCAGACTAAAATAACTGGCTTGAGAGAGTTCACATTGTAAATAGAGACCTCTTTGTGTAAAACACCTCTTACAATATTGTAGTTTTATACTCAACACTTGCTCCTGGTACTATTGCTTTGGATAACAATAATAATGAACATGAAAGTAAGAAAATCTATAAAGAAACTTTTTTTTTTTTTTTTTCCCTGCACTTCAGGCAATTGAAAAATTGGGAACTTACATTTAAAAAAAAAAAAATAATAGAACTATCAAAAAGCCTGGAAGTGGGCAGCTAAGAGAGGTTTTCCACCTCCAGTGTGTGGCAAAAGACAATGCAGGATACTCAGATACACTGTATTCATTCCTCATGGGGGGGGGTCACTGGCACAATGCCTTAAGGCCCTTTTTCAGCTGTCAGCATTAGGCTATAGAAATGTGTATATTCTGTCTGGCGTGCAACTCACCACATGAAACATCAAGGAGAACAGCAATCTGAGCTGCGAGTCTACTGCCTAGCACATATTAAATGCAATCTCAGCGTTGACTGACACAATGTCTTTTGGCAAGACAGCAGCTCTGTAATATTTTTACAGCCTGAAGCTGAGTAGTACACAGCCTACAAGGATTGTCAGAGTCAGAATAT